TGCTCAGCTCTCCCTCCCTTATGCGAGAAGTCTCTTTATTCCAAATATCCTGTCTTATCAGTTGCTCCTGTTATTGACAGTAGCACAATAACGCAGGATTATTATTCTGTAAGTACATATTAAACTATTTATTTAGTTATTGATTTCTATTTGATTTTTCTTCACAACTTTTATTTTGAAAAAATATAAACACAGTGTGTACAATTCAAAAAATAAAAAATTGTATTCATAAATATTGAACTTTTAAAAATGCTTTCAATAATTTTATATAATGATAATGGACTAATGTGTCCATTTAATTGTGTTCATCTTTCGTTTTCTGTATTTTTTATCATTATTGTAGATATTGCTTTTAAATATTGATATTTGATGTAATAGTTTACTGAATTTAAAACAACATACCTGATCGCAAATTGATACATAAATTTTAGTATATTACACTCACACGATAATTGTTTTTATGAAATTCATGTCATCAATGAAATAATTAATGTACATTTTATGACTTAGATCAGTTAAACGGTCAATATTGTTGCATTCTTGTTGAAAATTATTATACTTACTATCAAAATAAGGACCAATTTTAGGATCAATATCAATTGTTGGATAAACTGTAGAAATGACAACACCTTGTAAAATTAATAAACATAACTTTATTCTAGAATTTCATTAACATTTCAAGACAAATTTTGTTAAGTTAACATTAAATATGAAACTTTAAGTATAAAAATTGACATTATGAGAAGTTTTTGATCTCATCCTGAAATTGATCCTGATCCTTAAAGCTTAATGGACACGAGCCAGGACAGTTGATCATTTGATATGAAATCTTATAATTTTATTCTGAATGGACCTTTATCATTTTAGTACTGTTCATCATAATGAACAAAATAAAATTTGGTAAAACTATTCATTTGCATTTATCTTAGTTTCTTTTCATTAATAACAGTTGGTAGAAAGAAGCACATTGATCTAAATATTTGATCACCAAAATATAACTTTCAATACATTGAAGGTCATTCAACTATGTATATCTCACAAAATTTAAGTAAACTTTGTTATAATTACAGAGGAGAATAATTACAAAAGAGACCTGGTTAACCTAGAGAACCATGTTGCTACTTTGTAAGTGTTTAATATATTACTATGTTGAAAGGTTATCAGAGTTATTTTTTATATTTTTTCTATTGATAAGTGCTGTTTTTGTATTAATAACGGGTAGTCACTATTGAAGTAAAACCAACCAAATTATCCAAGAAGATGCATTAGGCGTATTCCTCAAACATTTGATCTAGAAAATTGCAAATCGATCTTAACAGATTTAATGTTATTGTTTCAAAATTCTGGAATGAATTTTAAATATAAACTGTCTGTGTGAAAAAAGATTATGTTACACTGCTTGTGCATTTCGACCGATAGTGTAAATATTGTGAAATCCTTCTTACTTGAACATAACACATGATGTAAAGTTGAGTAAAATTATCAATTGCAATAAATAAAAAAAATATCAGGGAAAGGACCTTTAATTTTTCAACAGTCTCTTGTATATTATAATAGACGAATTAATTCTGTAACTGTACATGCTATACAACGATGTTTGGTAGCTTTTATTCGATAACGTATTGAATTAACAATAACAAAACCTTTTTAATAGATGGTATTAATGACAACAAAATCTATATTATGCTCAGTTGAATAAACGAAATACATAATTAATGGTCAGAATATTTATGAAATATTTTGAAATAAATCAAAGGCATTTAAATTATTGACAAAGTATATAACATAACTATACCTATTTTTCGTATTTGCTTTATTCAGACATTTGTAAAGTTTTGCTGTTCAGTGTATCAGCAATTAGTGGATTATGTGAGTTTACTTATTGTTAAAATGAGAATATAATCAGCACTTGAATTATTTCATTCGAATGCATTGATGGACAAATGTAAGTTGACTGACAGTATTTTAAAATATTAAAAAATGTTCAACACCTGGATTCCTTGTTCGTATCAAGACAACCGAAGGTATATGTATATTAATTATATGCGGTTAAAAACATTATATATTTTACATTTTTCTCTTAAAAACATTTTTGGAATAAGTAAAATGACTTTATTCTTATCATTAAAACAATCCATGATTGGATAAGGTGCGTTTTTAGTGAAACTTGTTAGTTTACATAATTAAATAAATGAAATCATGCACATTTTATCACATGGTAAAATGTTACTTGTTAAAGTAAATATACAAGGGTAAACATATGGTTTATTTATTTCAAATCAAGAACATTTGGTGCACATTCAACGTATTTTTGTAAACATAAGACAGAAAGTAACTGATATTTTTTCCAGTATCCATTGAATGTTTCAACTGTTCTAATGTGCTCAACGTGAGCGATTGTAACACAACTGTCACATGCAACGATGGACAGGTATCACTTTATACCAGCAAATGTATATTGCTAAAATATAGTTTGACAGTTTATAGTGCATTCAGCGAATTCTTACAACTGTATCATTAATTAAGATACAAAAACAGATCACCAAGTAAGGTTTCGTCAATAAAAAACAAATAATAATAATAATAATAAACTAAATAAAAAACAACTACAACAAACAAAAGAGAAGAAAACACAACAACAAAAACAAAACAACAAAACAGTGAATTATTCACAAGTATAAGTTGTATGTGGTATATATTTAGAAAGACATAATACATGTAATATTTTATATGAAGTATTATACATTTTCCTGTAACTATTAATACATATTCAAATATATCTAATCCATTTGCTCTTACTAGCATTGAATAGAAATTTAAAAATACTTTTATAATAATATTATAATTTATAATTTATTTTAAATTATATTTTTTTTAATATCAGGTATGCTACAAAAGTCATGGAAATACCGGTCAAAATATGTACGATTTTGGATGCGCTGGCAAACCTGTAAGCTTTTTAGACATGTTTCTCACTTTTAAAACTGATAATTATTTTCCCCTAAAAATTAATATATGACTATATAGACTTTAATAAAATCAATGTGCAATAACAACATGCCAGAGAGTAAAACGATTATTGTGAACACAATCATTGTTAACTTGTATTCTAATAAATCCTTGTTATCTAGTTCTAGATTCGTTTGCGTATCACATAGTATCACTTTTCATCGGCTAACATTCATAAAACCTGTATATTTTTTTATAGAAATGTGCAGAAAGCAGCTCACAACCACAAAATATATCGGAGCCAATTCAAGCAGATTCCTGTTTTGAATGCTGTTCTGAAAACAATTGTAATAAACATCTGTGTGAAAAACTTTCCGGTAAACTTTTGTTCACTCTGCATGAAATAATTCTTCAAACTAGCCCTTAAATAAACTGTAGTATTACATTTGTCTTTCGTGTTGTTTTGCTGTGAACTCAATAACTGTACTTGTCATAACATTCCTTATAATTGATTGGCTTCAAGGTAGACCATATCGAAACCAAGTAGAACTATCTAACCTCACATATGCAATTAAATGCTTCATTTGATAAATTCAACTCATATAAATGAATTAAACATTATATATCAAAATGCAATTCCGTTATATCAATAGCCGGTATAATTTGCTTTATTAAATAAGAAAAATGTATGGTTAAAAATTAATATACATTTGTCTCTGTATGGCTGTGTTTACTTTAACAGTCTGCAGAGACGAGTTTGTGGAGTGTGCTCTTCTTGACTCAAAAATCAGCATTTGTTCAGATGTCAAAGAGGCTAAGACAATTTGTCGGAAATACTGTAATCTCTGTCATATTGGTTAGTATAATGTGTGATTCTTAGGGAATCGTTGTATAAATGTGTGATTCGGTTTTGTTTGTGTTATAATGACGTATAATCAAAGTCTGATAAATGAAACAATTTAAGTCAGTAGTCATCTTTGTTTTAATTAAGTACAGAAACCAAAGTTTAGTGTTTAAACCTGCTTAACAAATAAATAAACTAAAGATTATTAATTTTTCAGATACATGTAAAAAGCCGAACCAGGTCTTGATGTTTAAATGAAATAACATATTTTCCCAAAAGATAATACCAATACATAACCAATATTTGATTTTAATAGCAAATAAGTAGAAACTCAATTATATTTTCATATCCAGTTGATGGAAAATGGTCTAAGTGGTCGGAGTGGGCAAAATGTGACGTCACTTGTGGGAATGGATCACTCATACGTAATCGTGAATGTGACAGTCCGGCACCTAAACATGGCGGCCTTGAATGCCCCGGGGACGGTATTGATAAAAAAACATGTTTTGCGAATTTATGTCCTGGTAAGTATATACTGATTGTAATTTATGACTTTGCAAAGAAAGTAAGTAGTTTTTTCAGATTTTCTTTCCTTAATCATTTTTATGTTCTTCTTGTTTTAGAAACTACTGTTTTCCTCAAAATCAGAAAATATAAGGTCATCGAATTTCCAACAAAGATAAGGAACAGTGATTAATATTGAAAATGTCGTTTAAAAGAAAGGAATTCATTTAATTCGGGAATGACACGTACGTTAAAGTCATATAAGCATAACACATGTGTAAATGTTTTAGTTATTACAAACATTGCCATTTTCACATCTAAATGGTGTACTTTACTAAGCCGATACAAGGAAAACTGTACAGTAGTTACATTGTCACTACTGTTCATGAGTTCTCTGGATGAATTAGGTTTTGCATCTTTTTGGCGTTCTTTAAGTTTACTCATTTTTACAATTTCTTCAAAATGTTCCAGTAAAGGTACATTCACTGATCAATTAAGATGGATTGTTAATAGTCAGATCAGCAGTTTAATAAATATAACAATACAAAGAAAACATTTGTGCAACAGGCTATAAAAAGCTATGGTAATTCTGTTTCGTAGCTCGGTGTATATCAATCAATATGTACGTTGGACAGTATGACCTTGCAAAGAAAGTTAAGGTTGTTCAATCCTTTTTTATGCTATTTTTTAAAGTGAAACATAATGTTTTCCTAAAAATCAGAACACACTATGTGATTGCTTTTCAATAAATGTTAGGACCACTGAAAGTATTGGAAATTATAAAAACATAATTGTTTTGTCTTTTTATTTACTACAGAAGCATACACCGATTTTAAGTAAAATTAAATTAAAGGTTCCATGATAACCGCCATATGAATATAACACATTAATTTGTAGATGTTTCTTTTTTTAAAGTTAAGCCATTTTCAAAATTATATAATTTTATTGTATTTTGTTTAAGTTATCACTTCTGTCTATGAATTCTCTTAAAGCCCCAAGTTTCTTAAAATCTACCTGATATAATTATGTTCAATAGGTTAGTTTCATCTCGAGTGAATTTTTTTTTCTTTCCCAGAATTCGACTTCGAAACTAATAAAAATTGCACCTAAAACTGACAGAGTGACAATCAGTTTATAGATAGCTAAAAAAAGCGTCTGTCTACACTGAATTAATGTCTTTGAAATCTAGCAAAAATGCATTTAAATATTAATTAATTGTGAAAGTTCTCATTAGAAATGTAGTCATAATTTGTTCTTAACAGTTAATCATGAGAAGTTGGGCCGTACAGGGTGATTGCAAACGACAGTATAAATATAAAAATGTATAAGAGCATAAATATAGAGCTATTTATAGACTTGGGTCGCTTTGGAAGTTATTTCCTTTAAATTCAAAGATAGAAAGATGCATATATTTCTATCTTTCTTTTTTATTTTTTGTACTTGAAATTATATTTCAATCAAATGAAATATTATTTAATGCATTTGACGAAAATAAAGATTTTTGCTTAGTATCTTACATAATTTTTAAAAATGTCATTTTAATGAAATCGAGCCTGCAACTTTCTCAGTTTTGCCGTTTTGGACTTACATTTAGTTAAATTCTTTACACATTTTGTCAAAATGTCCTTGTACAGGCATAACACGTGATCAATTAAGACTAATTTTCAATAGTCAAACAGGCATTTGATAAATATATCACTAGAAATCATCATTTGTAATTAAAAAGGGACGTTTGGTATGATTTTAATGAACGAATATCTACGTTGAATAGTTGATGATTAAAAATAACTTTGTTGAAATATCAAAACGCGAAATGAAATGAAACAAAGGACAAAATAAAAAGAATATCAATAAAGTTTAAAAAAAAATGTTACAGCACATGGCGGCTGGAGTCAATGGGAGGATTGGGGAGAATGTTCTGCAACATGCGGTGTAGGAATGCGGAGTCGAAAACGTTCCTGTACCAATCCACGTCCACATAGATTTGGGGATCACTGTTTTGGTAACAGTATTGGAGATGAACTGTGCAATAAAGGATCTTGTGCAGGTATAGCATTTGTGAGAATTTGCTTGGTTATCACATTGTCTTTTCTAAATTAAATCTTTGAAAAATAGAAATATGCAAAACAAATTTTACGGATGTTTATGTTTATAAATAGGTATGTGAAAACTAGAACCGAAACGGCATACAAATATTATTCTGTTTTTATGACGCTCATATTTTCAAGAATTTTGAATTAAAATAAAACGATGAATTGGCACAATTTAGAAAATGCTTTGAATACCATTCGTTGCCCGTAAATCACCATATTTAATGCACTCTAAAGGTTCTTATATTTCTTATTTATTTATTTTGTTCGTCTTCGGAGTTTGTTTTAAACAGACAAATGAAAAGATAACATTTGTGCCAGTGTCTTGTATGATTCAGGAGGAAAATGCTTAAAATCAAGCTGTTTTTCGAGTTATGATGGTATATATGATAGTCATTGTACATTCTATACTAATTGCTCTTCTATAATGATCCACGGTATGCATAAAAATCCTCAGATGATAACGTCAGGTTATGATGATATAAATGAATTTGTTTTACTTTAATCTTCTTGTTCGAGTAATATCCATAATTCGAAATCCCGTTTTTGATTTAGTAGTACAGGTTTAGTATGCGAAAACTAGCAGTATTAAAATTGATAAGGTGTTTGCAGAAATCCCAATGTATTGTGGTGAAATATTCATCTATGGACAGCGGCGTTCTTTCTAATTATATATTATAAGGATCTAAAGTATAAATAAGGGATAAGAAATTGTTGGAATATGCATTTTTTACGTGGAAAATACCATCAAAATACATGTACACAATATAAATAACTGTAAAATGCTATAAGAACATTTAATAAGTGTATATTTTGTTACAGAAAAATTCCGTATATGAACAATCCTACTTTTTGTAAAATTTACAGGGAAGAACTGATTTAAAGAAGGAATTTCATTGATGAATTCTAAATGTGTTGTCCAATTGAACATAACAAGACTGTAAATAACATTCACGATCACGGAAACACATGTGCATACCGAAATCTACAAACTCAAAACAACACAATCTTTTTTGGCACGCTTTGTAAATCATGTTCAGTGTTCATGAGATATCATATCTTTGTTGTGTTCAACTGATATAAATTTGACAATTCCGGTGTATTTATTATTAATAGAAACATAGATTAATATGTACACATAATTAATATGTAAAATGAATACGTAAGTTTAAGGAACACTTAGGGAAATACGCTTAAGGAAAATATATTATTTAAAAAATAAATGCTATTACAAACTTCTGAAATAACCCATGCCAGTAAACGCAGTTGTCTCGTCCTGGAAACATCTTTTTAAAGACATTCTACACTGCTTGGTAAAAGAATATTACTTTAATTTATATTCTGCCTGCGTACTTCAATGTGAAATAAATTTAATTCTTAAGGTTTTCAAGTATTTTTTAAACAATAGTTCTGGTTTCAAGACTTTTCCATTCCTTTTTCATTTATTTTGTCATTTTAAACCAGCTTATTGTCCTGGTTTGATAGTAAACCAGAGGTCGGAAATAAAAGAACTTTAAATTACAAATATATACCTCTACCCGATCAACATTTTTTTCAATTTGTCCAGTAAATGTGGTGTCGTTTGAAGAAATCTTGAAAGTATATTGTATTGCTTGTGTTTGCCTAGAACAATCTCAATCGAAATTTAAAGTTAAATATAGAAACACTTAATTTTCATTATTTTTAAAATTCGAGCATGCTTTCATTTTTAACATCTTGCCCTATTGATCCGGTTACATACCGTGATCATCCGACTTTGACATAGGTTTTAAGCTTCGCAACCACGTTGAATATATCTTATATTCCTGTTCATATTTTATTTTAAAATGAGCATGACGGACTAAAGTTTCTCTAAACTAGCAGGGTTTGATAATATCTCAAACTTAGAATGAAATAGGTAGACAATAAAAAGTAAACTCTGAACAGCATGTTTTGATAATATCTCAAATTAAGTATGAAAAAGGATGACAGTAAAAAGCAAAGCTTTATTTTAGAATAAACATAATATGACTTTAATTGTGTTATTGCCATTATTATTATTATGTGATATTGTAATTACCAGAATCAAATCAAACAAACGCTCCAACTGTGTAACTATTTGTAAACGGCTTAGAAATATTTATCATATAATCATGTTCAGTTATACAGCGACTAACATACTGATTTTTACATATTGTATCAATTATGAATATGACAATGAAATTTAATAATAACTTTATGTCAATACAAAGTAATGTCAAAAGAAGTCAAAATAGCAATTTGTTTACGTGCAAATGACTTCGTGACAATGTTCATATTTCGGGAATTTCAAAAATCATGCACTTATTACGCTTAACAATTTCAATACTGTCAAAAACGTGTATCGTTATCATTATATTCAAATGTACGACGTGTACTTGTTTCTGCCGCACAATTATGAAATCTTAAAATTCTATTGAATCATTTTATCATTGATACCATTAACCGTCATGCTATTTTAGATATTTTTTTCGAAATTAATCAGTCTCTAACTCGAATGTCATTACGATATTATATGCAGACAAAATAAGTTGAAAATTTAATTCTGATTCCCGACACCTTGGTAAATCATGTTTATCATACAAAGTTTAGAAACAGAATTAAAAATGACCAAATCATTAAACGATACCGGGACACCGAATATTATTCTTCCAAATATGTTAATTCTGAAGAATTGCGCTTAGTCTACTGAGTTTAACCACACAATGCAATTAAGGCGTGATTAAAGAATATTACTTTAATTTGTACTCTGCCTGTGTACCTCAATGTGAAATAAATTTAATTCTCAAGGTTTTTTTTTTCAGGCGTAAAACATTATCACAAATGTATCCTTTAGACACACGGAAGAAGAATTTTTTTAAAATAAAGTAATCAGCTAACTTAAGGTTGATAAAACTGTTTCCAATGAATTGAATGTAGCAAAGCGGAATCAACAATCAACAACATAAATATCAAGCACGATGAACATTAAGTCCTAAAACCCAACCACAAAATGTAATGTTGAAAGACCGTTATATGCTTCCCCTCTGATAATTAGTGAATTGAAGTTTGGAGAAGTTGCGGGCTTACAAGTTTCAATATAAGCTGTTATATTAGTGCTATGTAAGCCACGTGAAGTCGTTAATAGATTCAGCATACATCAAGATAGATATAAGACATGTTATATATACTGGAAAATATGGAAAATCTTGTTTTGCCAGGTCTTATCATGAGAGTCAATATATATTTAAACTATTTCATGCAATCTAGTGCCTGGCTAAATGGTACTTAATCCTTAACAATCAATGATAAATTGGGGTCAGGAAATATATTAAGGCCGATATTATGCATGGAAAAACGTTTTTAAAAAAAAAAAGAACATAAAATAATGTTGTATTTGTGGTATTTTAGGGTAATTAATCTAATCGTAAATCTCATTTGGTATTATACCAACTAAAATCATGTGAAACAAGCACATTTTCATTTCCAATATACACTTTAAAGAAAACATTTTATTTACTTTAAGTTGTTTCTTTCTTGTATATGTAACATGTTTATTTCATTTTCATCCATTCGCAGCTGACAATGTACTTCTTAAACGATGATTATATTTTCAGAATCTCGCCATATTTATTGTATGTAAGCTGTCGCTTAATTGTTTTTATTTGATTTATTTAAAGTAAATGGCGGCTGGAGTGATTGGACGCAATGGGGAAAATGCTCGATAACATGTGGCGTAGGACTTCAAAGCCGTGTTCGGTCGTGTACAAATCCAACACCTGCAAATGCTGGAGAACATTGCATTGGGCAAAATTTTGACGTTAAACTGTGTTTTAATGACATTTGTTTTGGTGAGTGTCATCCCTTTTTATGCTTATAATATGATTATTATTCATGTGAAATTAAAATTAGTATATCCAACTTTAAGTAATGTTGCTCGTAAAAACAACCAATGTGTGTAACTCATTATTTTAGCGGTGTATGTCAAAGTAAAAGATTCACATTTAATTTATAGTATGATTTCATGGTATCTCTTAATCATGCTAACGTTTTTTACTCTTTCAATTTAAAGACTAGAGACATGTGGCAATTTTTTAAAATTGAATGATAAAGGTTTGTTTTTCATACATATAAGTACCAGACACAGATTGCACTGACATTATGAAGCATAATGGAAAGGAGAGAACTGGAGTATACAACGTACATCTATGGAAAACAGGCAGAGATATATCCGTGTACTGTGACTTCGATACAGATAATGGAGGATGGACGGTTGCTCTATAGTTATTTTGTATAATAATAAAAATAAATTTTGTTTATATATATAAAACACAATTTCTTTCTAAGCATAACCTTTCACAAAAAAGTTCCATATACTGATATTTCTTTTGTATGTCGAGACAAGTTATATCTTAACAATTTGTTCTAAATTTTGATACGATGCACAATGAAAGAAAGTGAAGACCCAGTGTAAAGCAATATTGCGTACATAATGGTTTAGAATGTTCCAAACCGGTCACAATTCTCATCATTAGAATATATTTTTGTTACAAGCTATAAGCTTAAGGACACACACTCGAATAAGTTTCTGGCACCAATCAATAATGATAGATTAATGTTACTTTTCTTGTTCAAAGAAAGAACTGCTTGCACCAGGCGGAATTAAACCCACGTGGTTACAGAGCCTTAGAAAACTTCTGAGGCACATGTTCTTGTCGTTATAATATGAACGTTTATACCGATAGTTACTTCATATTCATCAGTAGGTATAATGAACATGCATATAAATGGTGTTGTAAAGACATTCATCGAAGACATGACGTTTTGCTTTGAAGTTGTAATTTTTGAAACAATGTCTGGTACAATTTTACATCTATTATCATTCCGCCAGGTATTTCAGCATCGCTTCAACGGCAGCATTGATTTCTACAGGAACTTTAGTGACTATGAAAAAGGATTTGGTTCTGTAGACGGGGAATTTTGGTTAGGTGGGTATATGTTGATTCATTTTTCATACAGTTGTTTGAATTAATTTCTGATGGCTTTTTCGATAATAATTCTTATTTTATTATGACATTTTGTATGCAAACATGCTTATAAGTATTACATTTTTCTTAAATACATAAAGAATAATATGACAATATTCTTTTTTTACAACAAGTTTCACTTTTACATGTTTTTGTCGTGATCTTTATTTCATTTTATGACTTGTGAATGTGCAGTAAATTTCCCAAAATGAACTTTACAATACAAACTGTGCTCTGCAGGACATGTGTTATTGCTGTACACAAATCTAACTCACAAAGAGACATACAATCATCATTCTCAATGTAATGTAATTACAATTATATCGTTTTCATTATTGATAATAATGTTGCCGTTATCATAATTTGCTCAGTGTTGCCGTTTAAAATGATTGCTTCCGCTTGATCGGTATCATTGCTTAATCTGTAAATAACACCAATTCAACCGTTCGTATTAATATACCCTTGATACCTGGAAAGTAACAATGCAAACTGTCTCAAATGAAGAATACATACATGTGTGTACCTCAGTTTATAAAACATTCAGATTGCAAACCAGTTTTGAAGGTAAAGTGTACATTTTTGATAATGTAACCAAGATATACAGACATTAACACTACATATACACAAAATTGATTAATTGCAATTCTACCCCTCCCCCTTATATATTTAAGGTATGTATGAAATCGGTTGACATCATTACTTATTTTAGATATCATTTCCGGGTAAATATGCATGTACATTTTTCAATTTATATATGTATATGCTCGCACTAAACCGAGCTGCCTTTTTACATTCTATCAATTTCGTATATATACAAGTGTGTACATACATTTATTTAAAAAAAATAGGTTCAATCTTATTTCCCTTAACATCTGGTAAAGAAAAACAATGTTGATTTCATCATTATCAGCACATATATCAGAGAGAAAAATAGTGGTTAGTACTATTAATTGTATCAAATTTGTAAGTATAGCTGTTTTATTTTCCACGATCTTCAATCTCTGGACTGTCTGATATACATGTTTGTAAACGGAAATCTTGCATAAGGAATTTTCCAATAAGTGCATATTTAGCTATTTGAAAGTAACATTGTAAATATATATTTGGAATTCCTAGCTCGTTTTGCAAAGTGATGACAAATCTTTATTATTATACCTGCCATCGAAATTAATCAAATTATCTATTTGTTAGTATTGGTATAGACAGCAGTGGAAACTTGACTTTCTTTCTGTACCGTCTTATAGTTCGTTGATGATTAAGGACGCGAAAACAACTCATTTGTATTTAGTACAACACGATCATGAATCAGTCAACTTATCATTTATGGCAATAAGAACAATTGGCCTTGACCTGCCGCATGCATACTTTGCAAAGATTCCGCCTCAAAGTTTCGGCTTATCACTATGTACTATAATTTCGAGTAACTGTAAGTATTTGCTCCAATGACTTATAAAATATTAGAATATATTTCATTAGATGATCTTTGTTACTGTTTTTTTTGGGGGACAGTTTATGCTTTGTTATCTTTTGTACAAAACGACTTGAGAAATAGTCCTCATGTTCGGGAAGTGGTTGTTATCTTCATAAGATGTTCGGGTCGCCTTCCGTACATAAGAAGGGCCAATTCTAGCGCAAATACATAAAAATAATGTACTCATTTCTTAATATTCAGCTTTTAATGATAAACACGAAATAATAGTCTACACTACACGTTAACAAAATGAAATGCATATAACCAGTTTTGGTTTGTACATAGTTTTTCAACAAAACATTGAACAAGTGAACAACATTTACAATATACATTGTGGGATTGAGCATAAAGCTATAAAGCTTATGAGTGTACTCATAATATAAGTTTTGTAACAGAAAAAAATATTTCTTTATAAAAACAATTGATAATGTGTTTTTTTTCCTTATGAGAAACAAATTGCACATCTTCAAGATATAAAACATGAAATGAAGCAAGATATTAAAATGTAAAAAATGGTATTTCGGATTAAGAAATAAAGATGCTTTTCCGATTAAAATATTGTAATTTTTACGAAAAGTGTCATATTAATAAGCATAATTGCGTACAAACTATCAAAAAATAAAAGAATTTGCACATTAGCAATCCGAGCAATACATCAGACGAAATGATTGACATTCCCTACCATAGAAATATATATGGAAATTTTCCTTTATATTTAATTTCATGCCTTCCCCTGATCTAAAGGTCACATTCGTGTGTGATGTAAAGTTTAGAAATAGAACTGCCCAAGAAATCATTCAAATAAGTAAAAATTAAAAATGTCCCAATGAAAATAATTAACTATTTATTAGAAAAATTTAATTACGTCAATGTATAATTATTTCGATCTGCATGACTTTCTTTCCCAGACCATTTATTTCATAATGAATAATTAAAAATGCAGAGGGTGTGTTCAAAATTGCAAATAACTAGTGTTTATTCATTATGATAAAATACTAATATCTGACTGATTAGCTGTCTATGGAAATTAAATATATATAAAAAAAATGTTCAGTTCATTTTGCAGCTAAAAACTTCAAACTATATTTTCTAAATGAGATTGTATTTAAGAAATAATATATCCCAAACTGTGATTTTATCGCTCAATAAATCACTGTTTGGAGTTTGGATGCGAGGAATTATATTATGAGGGGGTAGCCCGAGTGATATAATGATGAGCATCGGAAATGACAAACCCTGTATCAAGTGATAAAGTTACCAATTTAAATAAATTATTTCGATTCTAACACGACATCATCAAAAAAAAAAAAGAAAAAAAAAATGCTGCCGTACATGTTATTAAGCTAAATGTGGCCTGATTTGTTTCGTACTTATTATTTTCGACGCGTCACATTTTAAGTGGTTACGTCACATGTATAATTATTAAGTCTAAATATAGAACGTCAAACAGTGATTTCATTGCATAATAACACACACTTTAGGTTATTCTTTGTTCAAAAGGGAAAAAATCGGGTTGTGTTAGAATTCTTTATAATGCATCAAATAAGCTAAACATAGAATCATTGCTTATCGTTTATCCAAATATAACACACTCTAGATGCCTACTAATTTTTTAAAGTTGAATCAAGAAATAAATATAGTGGCAATCATCATGATAATGCATAAAGAAAATATATTTATCTTACTAATAGAACAATACCCACTCTCCATAAATAAAAAAGTAGTAAGTATATAGAAAAAATCATTCATATATTTGACAAATAATTTAACTTTAGGTTTGAACATTTTTATTTGTCCGTCCGATTAAAGTTATATAAATGGGAAACTGCAAATACTGTTTGTTTTGTAAGGGAATGGGCGGGTCGAGGAATATCTCCTTCTTAAAATGTTTATTGTCCTTATAAAGACAGTAACTGCTGTACATGTATTATCCTACGCATTACGTGCAGATATTGAACATTACTTGCTTCCATTGCTCCTTTATTAGGCACTTAAATTTTTTTTATTTTTGAGGGGGAGGCGAAATATATGTAGATAAAAACATGATTACGACCTCTTCACCGTGCCAGTCGTATTTCGTCCAGAAATATCTTAACATCACTACCGGTTATACGTAAATGGGTTTTGGTGTTCAAGAAAATATAATGTATGCTTATGTATATTTTCTTTCAAGCATGTCAAACATAATAATGATTAAACCTTTACAGTTTTTCAGTATTTAATTAATTCAAATTTGCTGTTTCGCTTTTCTATCTTTTAGAAAATCTATTGGCACCAGAACTAAAACTCACTGGCTTCAGTGAATTTATAGGAATGTTATCATGTATGAGAAGACAGCATTCCACCACTACTCTTAAATTGTTGCGCATGGTTGTTTGCAATGTTTTATTGTGTTCAACATTGTGCCAGAAACAGTGATATGTTTTGTATAATATATTCATATATAAACAAATTGAGCATACTAAATATACTAATGACCATCTCTAATTGAACATATAAAAAGATATATGTTTATAATACTAATGTTCCTTATATAATTCATCAGCCGTCATGTGTACGTTTCATTAAATAATAAATGTGCATTTCATTGTTAAAATAATCATAGTAGACTTGTATAAGACTGACATTTATAGGAAATATATTTTTTGTTTAAACTTTGTATTCTTCTGAGTAAAATCACCGTCAAAGTTATGTAAAAATGTTCTTGTTTCCAAACTAAGGATGAACGAACCTTGATCTGACCAATGAATAACTGATTATGTATTTCTAAGAATTTAAGAATCGAATTCCTGATTGAAGTCAGTCCTTATATTTAATTAAAAGACGTTTTCGGGAGTTTCCATATAGTCATATAGGCAGAATTAAAACTGTTCAATAGAAATTCTTAAAACTTGACATATTGTTAGAATATGATTACAGCAATATTTTAAGCGAAAAACAATTTGGGTCACCGAACTCGTTTTTAAGTTATCTGCCTCAGACGCTAATTTAAGGTCATTTCAAGGGCCGATAATTTACACATACCCCGAGTATTCAAACTATGGTTTTAAACTATTTGAATGTGGGGTACTTATTCGGTAATTATTGAATGGTTCCTTTCATCTATCAGTTAAATAAATATACTACAAAATAAGACGTTACAAGCATGTTTAAATAGTATTTAATGAAGTGAAAGATTTTAATATGTGCTTGCATTTTATTACATTTTTTCCTTAAAAAAATAATTATATTCAGTTATATTCAGGCCTTGAAAATATTTACGAAATGGTTTCAAAGGGAAAAACGGAGTTGAGGCTGGATCTGACGGCCGCTGACGGAACATCTGTATACGAAACATTTCAGAATTTTAGACTTGGTGCAATGCCGTATTATACTCTTCATATCGACACGGGTGTGGGAACTGCAGGTATTCATTGTCGTCGTCGATTTTAATTTTTTTTTTTTTTTTGGTTTACGATGAATACAAAGATATTGCAAGTTGCGTAATAACAGAATCATTTTTTAACATCATAAACAATGAACTATCACATAAACTGCTGCGCAGGAATGAAATAATGCCATTTGATTTAAACGATATAACACTAGTGTAAATACACTTTAACGCTGCACCATATGAAAATAAGTTAATTTTTATACGTTAACTGTCCTTATTTTAGACATGTGATAAAAACATATTTTATTCGTGTAGATTCATCACTACATATAAGACAATAATATATCCACCAGAAGCTCGCATATTAATATATTTTTTTCAACTCGTTCAATAAAATTTAGTATAAAACCTACACTCATTCAATATATCCTATTTCACAATGTCCAGATTAGTTAGTGTGTATCACTGTCTAATATTATTGTTTTGTTTCCAATGCAGGCTATTGGTATCATGGTTTATCATATAACAATGGTAAACATTTTTCAACTTTCGACAGTAGGAGTCAGTAGAAATTGCGCTATAAAAGACCATGGTGGATGGTGGTATTATAATTGTGCTTATGCAAATCTAAACGGTGAATATGTTACTCCTGGTACACAACGACCTGTCAATGCGGAAGGTGGGATGACATACCACTCATTTAAACGCTGGGAATCACTCAAGTTCTCCAAAATGATGTTCCGACGGGTATAAATACATACTGATCCCATTTTGTAAGGAAATAACACATATTATGTCCAAGATTGTGATTGCTTCTATGTAAATGATTTGTAAAACATGATTTAAAGTAAATACTTTTAAAATTGTTTCTTATAGGAATAACACAGTCAAGCTTATTGAATAACCTGATGTGAAAAAGTATGCTTCTATGTATTAACTTATTGTTAAACTTCTTAAAAATATTTGTTAACGATAACGCTAAATAAGTTCGCATTCGTGTGTAAATTCAGAGTCACTTTTGCAGCAATAAAAGTGTAGACATGAATAGAACAATCTGATGATGACTACGCTTTTTATTACTCCGCCTCTTTCTTTTTTGTTGTAAATCCTCTTTTTTATAATAGTCAGTGACAAACGTAATAACTGAGTGGACATAAAAATGTACACTGTAGACCATAAAAAGAGGCAAAGTACTATTAATTGCACTTGTTATTGATATTTATTGACAAAAATATATTGACATGCAAGTTGTAAGTTTCAATATATTATCATTGACTTTGACGGAATACTAACCACTGGAAAGGTTTTATTTCTATCGAAAAACTTTGCTTCCAAATAATGTTCAATATTTTTAAGGGCAGGGAAATTATTTTTTTCGTCTTTAGAAAAGTGCATACATGTCTTTAGTAATGTTTAAATAAAGGTTTAAAATCATTGTAAGATGTGATGTGTTTTTATTCATTCGGAATTATAGTAAAACATATGTAAACAAATGTAAACGTTTTTACAACTATTGTTGTAATAATTAATAAAAGTTGTGTTTGTTTGTTTGTTCGTTTGTTTGATTAGGTTTAACTGCACGCCGACACAGTATTGATCATATGGCGACGTTCAATCTTTACTGGTGGAGGAAGACCTCCGGTGCCCTTCCGAGCATTATTTCAGACACGAATGGTCACCCGAGTAGAACCAACGACATTCCGTTAGTTAGTTGGATAGATTCTTGATTGCAAAAGCAACAGAAGCAAGAGATGGTTCTGGTAAATGGTCATTATTTTTTGAACTTAAAATAGGGGTAACGAAAAGAAAAAACAAATCAAGAATATTGTTTTTGATTTTTTATCGTTATTGTATAAAAAAGGCGTTATTGTGTTTAGTCAAAATTGATAGCATGGTCGTTATATCCAATACAAACGGTAACAGAATGCATTAAATTAATTAGTTTTTTTTATATTTTATGTCGCAACAACACTGTCAAAGTCATTTGACGACTTTCCAGCTATAGCAAAGGTAAAATACCTCATGTGCTCTACCGTGCATAATTCCAGACACAAACCTGAGTAGAACCACCAACGTTCTATAAGCTTGCTTGAAAATTTACTCACAAGAATCCAACGTCGTTGGTGGGCTTCGAATATACAGCTGTATTGAAGTTTCCGACCTTAACCACCCGGTAACGGATGCAGTATGTTCATGTTTATAACAAAATAAATGCTCATGAAAAATTTACTCAATTTATACGTTTTTTTCTCTTTCTTCTTCTTTTTCTTCCGCTTTTTTTCTAAGATTTTAATGATAGAAATTAACCATTTTGAGTACCATTACAATGCTGAAAGATGATATTGTTTTATCAATTTGTATGACTGGCGAAAATGCACTTGAACATGCATTTTTCAAAGTAAATATTACATTTTTTAACAATCATTTTACTCAACTGTGGAGATCATATCAAAACACCAGTCGACGTTAAGTGCATCGTACTTAAGGACTGGAATTATTATTATGAAATAATTTTGAATGACAGACGCATATTTCATCACCATTTCCACAAGTCACAAATTACATATGCAGATGATGAATGTATCTTAAATATATTCAGAATATTGAAAGAATGTAGATTAAATACAAGAAGTATTGTACGAGTTGTATAAAATCTTATTATGCGATCCTTTGCGATTCACGGTAAAAAGTCATTTTTCATTGACGGGCCTATGGTGTAACGTTAATTTAGCGCGCAGTAACGCTGTGTGTATATAACGCAATTAACGTCACTTTAAGGTGTTATAACACTAGATTAAAATCATCAGACATTTTCACAAATAAATCTAACGACAATTTTTTATCGTAAGAGAAATCTTACGATAAATCTCATTTTCACAAAAAATCTTAAGAAAATCTTAAGTGCAAAATCTGTCGTAACTTTACGATAGGTGTTCCTAAGTGTAATTTTGGGTAAAAAATCATGTATGTCTTACCTAAACTGAATAAAAACAACAAAAAATTGGAGGACCAATATATATTAAGCAAACAGTATGTTATAAATAACACAAATCAACATAAACATTTGTGACTTCATGATTTGATGACGTCACGATGGAAAGGGTTATGAATAGTTTAAATGCGAACTCTACTGTAGTATTGTTGAAAACAATTACAATTTTGTGAGTTCGATTTTATTGCCAACATGTACTAGTGGCATCTTTTTATTTATTAATACCTTAGCAATAACGTAGCTGAAACACTTAGATACATGGTTACAATTATTTTCAATCAAGATAGAAAATATATTAGTTTGAATCATTTTTTTTTGTTCATTGTGTTCAATACATTTTTCAAGCTCTTTATTACTTGATTTTAAAACCAGAATCAAATAAAGAGCACGCATATCAATATCAAATGAACGTTGCTAGGGATGTTAAATAAAATTTTAACTTACGAGTGGCTTTGTGAAAATGACATACGATTTTACTTACGATTATCGTTAGTCAAAAACTTAAGATAAATCGTAATATTTTTTTGTGAAAATGTCTGCTGTTTATTAAATAGTTATGTACAACTATTTTGTCTTGGGTCGTGTGATTGCACGAAGGTACTGCATAAGTGTAGGTTAAACAGTAACGAGTAGAATAAAATCATATTGTACGAGTCTCTGGCGCGCATAATATTCTTTAATTATACAGGTTAAATAAACGTTTTATTGAATGTACACGGCGAGGGTAATATTTTTTTACCAAATATCCAAAGTAAAAAAAGATTGTAGTTAAAATGAGTCATTTTACATTGACACGCTTATACGTTTTCTCCACTGTATAACAAAAACTATGCAATGCTGATTCATAACGCTTCTCTTTTTTACGCAGCTCGTTTAAAACTCATATAAAACACTCGTGTAATTAAACAATCGCCGAAGTCACGTGTTTAACCTTCTTTTATACTTTAAATACTATCAACATGTTACACATGTTTTAACCGATCAACCCATGGACGTTTGGTAATCCGAATGCATAGCATACCTTACAGCACTTTCTGTGTGGTGTTGTTAAATCGACATCAGTACACTTCCGGACCATGATTGAGTAGTTTGTGGCCGCTTGCAATTGTCCAAATAATGATAAAAAACCGTTCTGTATTGTAGTGCACATTTGTTACCATTTGGATACAAAACACGTTTCTATGTATTTATTCTCTGAGAAATCAACCGTAAAAAGTCTATGCTGGTTTTAATTAACAACAGCAACCGCAGTTCCCATAACGTTTCCTTGAAATCCAGTCTGCAATTACCGAGAAGTAGCGCATAATGAATAATGCTCTGTATACAGAACCATAATTATTCAGGGGCCATCACTTTATATTAAAAGGTTCGACAATATCCCTCCCAGTTCAATCGACGGAGGATAATAATATGACATGCTTTAAAGTTTTCATATCTTCAAGATTCCATGCCAGCCAGATGTCAAGTTCACACATAGGAAGGAAGAAGTGAACGTCTTGTGGAAAAGATTATTGTGTACAAGTTTGAAAGAAATCCATCAAGTTAACAGAAAATACGAGTATACCTTTTTTAGAACCTGACTTTTAATAAGCGTAATTAAATGTCTTGTTAAAGGGGTTGTTGTGTCCAAATGTGAAAGAAATCCATTCATTAATGAGGATAAAATATTTTTCAAGATATTGAATGTAACAGAATTTCATATTCATGACCATTTATGACATTTCCCTCAGTCTATGTGTCCCTAATATCATACATATTGGAAACATATGGTGTATTAGTAACAAATGAATAGTGCTCAAAACTGCAGTTTCTCCGCTGCTTCAAATGTCCTGTCGTTCTGTATAGGGGTCTTGGCAAACTAAGTACGGCAAGCAAATTCATTGAATTGATATCACCCGCCGCATGATTCTTATCAAGTGACTGAAGTTTCTTTGTAGTGTGTACCTCAGATATTGAAGTAGATAATTAATTATCATTACTTTTGATACAAAACCTCTAACAAAAGTTGATACATCTCAAGCAAAAATGCCTTTTGATGGTTCCAATAAATTTTGTTGAAATCCAGTAAGCCGATGTCGAATAATAGTACAAAAATGAATATAATTAACTATACATACTGCATATCTATTGAGTGGTATTATCTTATATTTCAATGAACTTTTATAACATATTCTGTCCATAACTTATGTGTAGTGTTTATAAATATCCTTAGCATGCTTTTTCAGACTTTTTTTTGCGAAAAATGCTAAGAAGTAAATTATAAGTGAAGCCGCCAATTAAGTTACGACAACATAGTTTGAGATATAGAGTTCAGTGGAAGATGGATAATTATTGACTACTGCTGCCACGAGTGAAAATATTTATTTTTATTATCATAAGTGAAATAACAAATGTTATTTTACTTGTGATAATTAAATCAATATTTTTGTTCGTGGCTAAGGCTGCCGCGAGTGAAAATATTGATTTTTATTTTCACAAGTGAAATATCAAACGATCTGTCACTGAATTTACAAATTTCCTGTAAAATGTAAAATGTATTGTTGTAGAAACGTAATTAATAGAAAGAGCATCAGAACACGACACTATCTGATTTGTACGGGGGGGGGGGGCGTAGCCCCCGAGTAATTATCAGATTGCCGAGTGTTTTGATGTTCATTCTCTTTGGGTCATAGTCAAACGTAAAAACACATTCCCTGTTGTCACAATATGAAACCCCGGGTAAAAATGAACAATGAACGAGCATCTGAATATGATATTTCTG